ATACTTGTTTATATTTTTATCATCAAAACTCTATTTAAACTAACTTTACTATCAAGTAGACAGTAAAACATAAGAAGAAATTATCTTCATAGTAATTAACATGTATAATCCAAAGAATGGAATGATTCCATGAGCCAAACACACTACAATAGAGGCAGTGGTGATCTCCCCATACCCATTCATACCACGCCAGATTCCAGAGAAAGATAGCAACAGCAAGTCTTTAAGGATACAGAAGTAGAGAAAGACTTCTGGAGTCCTTGGTCTATGGGCCTTGTTTATACAATATTCAGCCATTAGAAATTCTCCTTCAGGTTGATTGACACCTCAAACTTCAATTGCCTCCTGATGCTTCTCTAACATGTCCACTGGCAGATATTAAAATGAGCAATGAAAAAAAAAAACACATAATGGAGCTGGGAAGTAGTTGTACACATCTTTGTTTCGAGTACTTGGGAGGGAGAGGCAGGAGGTTCTCTGTGAGTTAAAGGACAGATTAATATAAAAATTAATTGTTACACTCTGAAACCTTGTCTGGAAAAACAAAGCAAAAATTTAAATGCCCCACAAAATAAATCATAACAAATATTAAAACATGTCTCACCTCCCTGAACAATTGAAGGACAAGGAGAAATCTTGCCATTATTTCTTTTTTTTAATTTATTTATTTATTATGTTTACAACATTCTACCTCCATGTATGCTCACATGCCAGAAGAGGGTGCCAGATCTCATTACAGATAGTTGTGAGCCACCATGTGGTTGCTGGGAATTGAACTCATGACCTCTGAAAGAGCAGCCAGTGCTCTTAACCTCTGAGCCATCTCTCTAGTCCCTCTTGCCATTATTTCTACATTGGTCAAATGTAGGTTGAATTTTCACATAATCCATCCTGGGATATTGGGAGGTGGGGTCCCTTTTGACAAGGTTCTACAAGATTTGATAATTTTCCTTCCAGATTTTGGTCTAGCTTTGGTCTAAACAACCTTTATAATGCTCAGTTTCATTCTTTGTGAACTAGGAATGTTCATTCTGTGTGATTGCATGGTGGAAATAATGGTCTCCCTTAAGCATAGGGTAGAGTATAGTCAGATAAAATGAACTTGTCATTATCTATGAGTTTGAGAAACATATTGGTTAGATGAGAATGGCAAACTTAGTCCTGTGTTTTTGAATTCTTGTTTCCCCAGTTGGAAGAATATTTTAGGCAGGAGTAGAGTTGTGGCTCTCTGAAAGTGTTGTGTCCAGTGAGTGGGCTTTGAAGCACCAGAAGTACTGAATAATGTACAGTGTGCTCTGTACCTCCTTCTTGAGGTTCACTATGTCAGCTCTCATCTTTCCCTTCTTTGTTTACTAGGCCCTAAATGACTCTAGCTTTCTAGAACTGTAAGCCAAATTTAATGCTTTATTGCATAAATTGCCTTGGACATGGTGTATTTTATGCAAATTGTTCTGTGGGAGGTCAGAAAACAGAAAAATCTTTCCTTCTGCCTATGTAAACCAGGGAACAGCTTTGTATAACTTCAGTTCTAGAGCAGATAGCACAAATCTCATTCTTCTGTGGGTAGGAGTGATCCCATGTTTGACAAGACTTCTATGAAGAAACAATGCTGTTAAGCATATTCTAATTCATTTTCTACCAGACAAATATTAAATTATTTGAAAAATCTCTCTTTTCTTTCAAAGAGCCATGCTAAGAATGATAATCTAGCTGGAGAGGATGTGGGGTGAGGGGAACACTCATCCATTGTTGGTGGGAATGCAAACTTGTGCAGCCACTGTGGAAATCAGTGTGGCGGTTTCTCAGGAAACTGGGAGTCAACCTCCCTCAGGACCCAGCATTTCCACTCTTGGGAATATACCCTAAAGATTCCCTAACATACTACAAAAGCATTTGTTCTACTATGTTCATAGCAGCACTATTTGTAATAGCCAGAACCTGGAAACAGCCTAGGTGCCCCTCAATAGAAGAATGGTTA